TATCAGCTGGGCACTTTTCACTTAATGAACGACTATTGTTTCATTAGTAAAATTCTTAGTGATCTTGGGGCAAAATTTATCAACTCCGGCCCTTTCGACGAGAGTTCCGAAGCTTCCGACCCGGAATTTTGGGGATCTCCCTGTAGGAGTTGTCTAATTCAGTAATTTATATCAAGAACTTAATAAATCTCAAAGACATTCGAATTTTATAGATTTATAGAATTAGAAAATGTTTGAATATCAGAATTGATTGAGTTTTATTTTGAGTTTTTTGATTCGATTTTTTTTTAAAAAAAATACTGTATTCTGTAATTTAATCATCCGACTTCTTCCAAGCCTTAAGCAGCAAAAACCTGGATAAATCTTGACATTTTGAATCCTACATCCTGTAGAATTCGAATATTGCACAAATTATGATGGCTGTATTAATTGACTGGTTTTTTTGAAAATATCAGTAAGAACCTGATAAATTTAGAACATTTACTAATTTTCTGGATCAGAATTTGTAAATGTTCTCAAATGCTAAAATTGTCAGGGCTTTTGCCAAGGTACCTTCATTCAAGTTTTCAAAAAAATAGGCAATTGATCAATTACTGATTTTTCCTGAGCTTTAAACGAAGCAAAACACTATTCCTGACGGGTCTGTAGTACTGGGATAAAAAAAATTGAAAATTTGATTCGCGTTCTGTTCTGATAGGGATCAAAACTCTTGATGCTGATTCTCCATATACTTCACTATATATAGTATATATTTCAGTTTTAGAATCATGTTTTTTGCCTTATCGGAAGAAACATGATGTCATCGGGAACGGTGTTTTGTTTAAGCAAATTTATCTTAGTAAAGGCAATAAATTTTAATGTTCTAAGACATTACAGATTTTTAGTTGAAAATGTCTTAGATATTGAGATTTTTAGGGTTTTTCCAAGATATCTTCGCTTAAAATTTAGGGGAGATCCCCAAAATTCCGGGTCGAGATGCATCGGAACCTTGGTCGGATGGGCCGGAATTGATTCATTTTGCCCAAAAATTTTACTAATGAAACAATAGTCGTTTATTAAGTAAAAAGTGCCCAGCTGATTAATTTACTATAGCTTTTGCTAATCAGTATAGCTAACCCTAACACTAACCCTAACTCCAATGTATTCTGACTAGTGCTCCGAATCGGGTTCGGGTTAGAAATATCTGACCCGGGGTTGAACGTCAACCCGACCCGAAAATTATCCAATTTATATATATGCGAAATTAGTTTTTTTTTTTTTGGCTCTAATAGCAAGTACATATGTATTTTTAATAAGATTTTAAATAAAACCTCAAAAGACAGTCAATTATGCACCAATTGATTGGTTAACGGCCGCAGATCTGCAAATTTTGGCCCACATTACATAATTGTTTACTAATTTCCGGCCGTTATTAACTTTGATTTTTTCATTACAAAAATAGAAATTTTTGGAAAATAATTAACCCAGGACAATTTCACTTAATAGGCTCTGTGGTTTCATTAGTAGAATTCTGAGTAATTCTGGCCAAATTTTTTGATCATCACTCTTAGCCAATCAAAATCGAGAATCTGCTATGAGATTTTGTTGTGGTAGCTAGGGTTATTAAGAAAGCTAGACTTTCTTTTGACTTTTCTTCCCAACGACTCTTATTTTTCTTGACAACTTTTTTTTTCTTTAACAACTCTTTTTTTTAACAATCTTCTTTAGAGTTTCTAAATTTAGTTTAGTTTAGGTTTAGGTTCAATAAACCTGAACTGAACCTAAATCTGAACTAAACCTAAACTTAAAGTTTTGGTTCTGTTTAGTTTAAAGTTTATAAACATGTTTGATAAAACATAGTAAATAATGAAAATACTATATGTTTATTAAATATTTTTAGAATTTTTAAATTTGAGTTTTTCAACTAAAACTTTTTTTTACTAAGTAAATCTTTTTTAACTTCTAATAAAAGTTGTAAAGAAGTGTTTTGCGATTGAAATAGTAGTTAAAACGTTAAAATCAACCTAGTAGATCATGAGATATAAGTATTTTTGTCTTTGCAATTATAGGTTTCTTCTTTATAGTACTAGACAGCAAAACACATTTACTTTTTATTAATAAAAACTTTAAACTATTATAACTTTTTAAAACAAGTTAAATCAAAAAACCTTTAACAAATTAATAGATATTTAGCTAAACTACATTTTTGTCAAAAAGATTTTTTATTATTCTTTGTTTTAAAGAAGTTATTAAAAGTTAAAGTTTATAATAATTTAAAAAATTGGTGTTTAATATAAAAAAAAGAAATATATATATTTAATTAACCAATAAGAATCAATTACATCAAAATTAGCCAATCAGAATTAATTTTATAAGCATTAAAAATTGGTGCTACCGTATTTTTCGGCAAATAGTACCCCTTTTTAGTGTACCCCCCATGATTTGTACCTGGGATTAATCAAGTATTTATCACAAACATTATTGTAAAAGACCCGGGTATATCTAGAATATAATTTATATAGTGCATGATTTCTTTTATGTCTTTTTTTTCAATTTCGTTATAATTCTATTAAATGATTGGTCAATTAAAGTATTCACCTTATATAAACTCCCCCATATAAAATACCTGCCACCTGACAAAGTACCCACCGGGTACTAATCAAGATTTTGCTTCTAGAAATGTAAGAAACCCGGAATACTATTTGCCGAAAAATACAGTATATGTATAGAGTGGATGTTTTATACTGTCTAATACAATAATATCTTATTAATAAAGCAGGGCATATAATATGACTATCAAAAAAAAAAGTAGTTTAGTCTAATTAAGTTTAATATATTAGACTAGATAAAATTAAACTATTTAGTTCAATAATAACTCTAGATCTAGCTATACTAAATTTGAATAATTTTCTTTGGCAAATGATAATTTTACAAATAAGAAACTAAATAAAATATAAATAGCTTATATTAAATATTTAACCTAATTAATTTAATACAGATAAACCTCCCTAAGTGCACCCTCCCTAAGTGCACACCCTCTCTAAATGCACACTGTGGTCTGGTCCCAATGTTGGGACTTAGAACTTAAATGCACACCCTCTATATTCTGCACGTGCAAGAAATTCTGAGTCCTGGACCTATGCGTGCACCTTCTATAAATGCACGCATATGATATCATCCAATCATAATTGAGGATTTTCACATATAACATCTCATTGTTACGTACCTTCTTTTTAATTTTGAATCATCCAGTTTGTCACTAGAAGTTTAATGGAAATTTACTAAAAGTTGAATTAATATGATTTAAACCTTTTATCGCTATAATCCTACTGCAATAAAATGATAATGTCATAGAAAGTTAAAGTTTCATTAAAATCTTTTGCCGGGGCATTCTTAAAAAAAAAAAAAAAAAATTAAATTATGTATTGTGCGTATTGTGATTTCAGCTAGAATTGGATATTTAAAAAATTCTTAAAATGGATTACTAATACTTGGATAAGTTAGATTAATCACTATAAAGGATAATGATAATCGAAAAGTTAATCGAATTAAATATGGAACTTTAAAAAAGCTTGAATGAGCTAAAAGCATACAAGTCATTAAGATCCTCAATATAGATTGGTTTTTGAACATTTGGACATTAACAATCAGTTGCTTAATTTTAGAATAATGATATAAGAATGGTGCAGAAATCATACATACTAAAAAAAAAAACAAAAAAAAAAAACAAAAATGTCTTCTAAGAAAGTTACATTAACCGATGCACAAAAGACTGCATTATGTATTTATGCTCATGATAATAAAATAACTCGAGCTAAATATGTTGATTGGATAGAACAACAATGGGGTGTCAGAATTGATGAAAGTATGGTTTTAAGAATTTTAAAAACTAGTGAAAAATGACTTAGCTCTGAAGTCTCAAACTCTAATGTAAAACGGCATAGAGCTGTTACTGTTTCAGAGGTTGAGCTTGCGCTAAAGGAGTTCGTGTTGAATTATCAATATAGGACAATTTTAAGCGATACTATCTTGATTCAAAAAGTGAAGTTACTCGCTGCTGGGTTAGGAGTTCCTGAAGGAACATTACAATTTTCTTCCAGCTGGCTGCAAAAGTTTAAAGAATGTAATGGTATTCGACAAATAAAGCTTCAGGGTAAAGCTGTATCTGCAGACAATGATGCTATTACTAGCACATTACCATTGTTAAGATCTAAATGTGCCAATTATTCACTTTATAGAATATACAATATGGATAAAACTGGGCTTTTTTATTGCTTAGAACCGGACCGAATCTTGGCAACCCATCGTATTGCTAGGTGTAAAGTAGATAAAGAACATATTTTAGTTGCACTATGTGCAAATGCAGATGGCTCATATAAACTAAATCCGTTAATAATTGGAAAATATCAAAAGCCAAGATGTTTCAAAAATATAAATATCAAAAACATGCCATTTATATATCGGAATAATACCAAAGCCTGGATGATCACAACATTCTTTCAAGACTGGTTTAAAGAATTTGATCACCAAGTCAGTTTGAAACATGATGGTCAACGTGCACTTCTGCTTTTAGACAAGTGCTCCAGTCATAAAACTGATTATCTAAATCTACAATATGTAGATGTTTATTTTTTATCTGCAAAGACAACTTCAAAAATTCAACTGATAGATGCCGGGATAATTATGAGTTTTAAAAGGCACTATCATCGTCATCATATTCTCTGGATATTATAGCAAATAGAGACAGGTAATCATGTAGAAGATTTAAAAATGGACGTCTTACAAGCTATTCGATACGCTATTCAGGATTGGGAAGAAGTAAGTGCTGAAACTATTCGTAATTGCTGGCGACATACTAAAATTCTTCCTATAAGCTCTAATGTGGATCTACAAAATCTTTCTAAAAATATTTGTCAAGTTATTGATTCTGAAATTGATGAACTTGCTACACTTATTGAAAACCTTCATTTTCGGACTCTATGCAGGTTGAAGAGTTTTTATCTATCCCCGAAGAAAACTTTGTTTATGAAGTTCCTGATGATGATTGTATTATTTCAGAGATTGTTAAAATTTTTAAAAAAAATGAAGAAGATTTAGATGAAACTGAAGAAATGGATAATAGTTCTGAGATTCCTATTGTTAGTGCTGATTTAGTACTTGAAAGTTTGGAGACTGTTTATATATATCTGCTACAACAAGATAACACAAGTAAGCAGCTAAAGCTAGTTGATAAAGTCAAAAAAGTGATTAAAAAAAAAAAAGTAGGCGCAATGAAACAATCACAAATAGATTAGTATTTTAAACAAAATGATGAAACTAGTATTAACAAGTAAAAATATACTTATTATTAAAAACTTACCGAATTAAATAAATTTAACATATTAATTTATTATCAAAAATTTATAGGGATCAGCTTTTATCTGACGTTTATAACTCTGAATATTATTGTTGAAGCGAAATGAGCTAAAAAAATTAGCATTGAAATTTTATTTAAAAAAAAAAAATAGAAAAACAAAAAAAAAAAAAAAAAAAGGAGAAAAAAAAGAAAAAAAAATTAAACTGAATTACTTCAGTAGAAAAGGTACTAAAATGAGTTATTTAAAAGAATCAGATATAGGTTATTCAAAGAATCGGATATAGGTTATTCAAAGGATCAGATATGGGTATTCAAAAGAATCAGATATTGTTATTCAAAAGAATCAGATATAATTTATTCTAATAAAATATTTAAAGTTGGTTATTTTTTTATCATTACAATATTTTTAGAGTAACATAAAATTTGACAATTGTTAAAATGATGGAATTAGGACTCTTTTTCCTGGTGTCACAGGACCAGAAACATTTAAATAAATAAAAAAACCAATGCAAGAAGCTTTCATTTTAAATTGACAAATAATTATTATATCGAATATTATTATTTTTATAAAATTAATATATAATGCTTGTACAATATAGTGTTTTACTAAAAGTATTTTAATATTTTTTACTCGAAAATAATGAAAAGACTTAATTGCAATAGTATAATTTAATTTTTTTTTTTTTTTTTTTGGTATTAAGGTGATCTCTTTGGTTTGGGGAACTTTTTATTAGAGTATAGACGAAGTTTTATATGTAATTACAACGATGGTACATCAAGCCACACGTGCACC